TCTCTCTCTCTCTCTCTCTCCCCCCTCCTCCTGAAGTCTATCCTCACACATACGTTGTTGTATCCCCCACTCTACCCCCTCCCCTTCACTCCCCTCTGTTGCTATATCGAGAGCAAAAAGCCACCAAATGTAAGCAGGATCGACACAGACATTCGTCAGACCAGACTATATGGAAATGAGTGTACAAACAATGCACCAGTTTCTGACACGCGTGGTCAGCAGAAAGTAAATGAGATGTCGGAGATATCCGCGCATTCTGGCATGTCACTGCCTGTCACTGTAAGACATATTGACCTCATGACTTCTGGGATAACCATGTTAGAGACATAAAACATTTGAACTGTCTTGGGAAACATGGGTGTACATCACAATCCCACTCCTACAACAAAAAAGGAAAGTTTAACGGCTTTTAAATGTAACCCATTACCAGCTGAACATACAGTCGAACCTGCTCTAACAGCCACCTGTATAAGACAATCATCTGTACAAAAGGCCACTTCCCATTTCCAACCTTGTACTTTTTAAACATTATAATGACCCTGTATAAGACGTTCACTTGTCTAATACAACCACTTTTCTCTTAAAGGGGGGAGACACCTGAAGGCTATCTCGCATATTAGGGGGTCAGATTTTTCCAAATTTCACACATATAACAAGTACACTAAGGACTCTTGAAATCCATAATCAAATTTGAGAAAAAAGTTGTGTTTCCTTGGCTACGGTGGCCATATTGGATTTTATTGTCATGTCTTACGTAATGAATACCGCATTTATTTTTCATGGAAATAGATTGTTTTGTTTTGTTTAATACATTTAACAAACATCAGGACTAAAAATTTATCTGTTGAATTTTTCTTAAACAAATTAGAAGATTTTTTATGAATTCTTTCGTGACATAGTATTCAAGTTTGCAAAAATCCGTGAAAATCCACACTCCATACACCACCAAGAAAAATCTATTCCGTATATCAAAATTTCCCAGATTAATTTTTTGTACCTCATCTTCTCTTGATTCTGTGAAAATTTCATGGATATTGGAAGAAAAATGGTGGAGTTATTCAAAAAGGTATCGAAAAATTTCGTTTTGAGAAAACGGACGATAAAGAAAATTTAAAAGATTGACTTTAAGAGGAAACAAAGGTGACAAACATGCTGGTCTGGGAAGAAATAAGGCTTTTGGGGGTTTTAATACTGTGAAATGGTTGTAGGAATGGATGAAGAAGCAAAATAAGCCTTAACTCAAAATCCATAATTTTCAGCAGAATCGGGACTTCTGGGGTGTAGCGGTTGGCTGACTTAGACTGTAAAAGGCTAGAGTCCCTACATATTTTTCTACTCCTTAATGAAACCATGGAGGCGTCAGTTAAATTAATGTGATCCACTACAAAGAGAACATGTAACACTTGAGTCTCTTCGTTACATAACACTTCTTAAACCACAAGGATGTCGATAGGCTGGATATTTACAGCTTGAAGGGGGTATAACCAGAATTATTTTTTTTAAAAGAAAAATCATTAAATGATCTTCATTAAATATTAGAATCTAAATTTACTATAGGCCATTGATCTTTGAAATGACAAGGCTGTTATATTTTCGGGATTTTGTTTTGTTTTGTTTGGTTTCTGCTTTTGTTTGTTGCTGTTGTTGTTGTTGTTGTTGTTGTTGTTGTTGTTGTTGTTGTTGTTGTTGTTGTTGTTGTTGTTTGTTATTTATCTAAAATGTATATCGATAGAAGTCCACAATATTCTTCATTTTGACAGTGAACATCGATTTTATCTTAATAGGTCAGAAAAAATGGTTTGCATCCGACTATAACGAAGCAATTTTTTTTTTTAATTGCCTTTAATTAGTGTAAAATTTAGCTTATTATTAGTATTTATTTTCCCATGAGCTAGACATGAAATAAGCGTAATCGAACTAAACGGCTTTTGCTTTGAGCAACAGTCAAAACGTTCACAATAACTTAACTTCCACAAGAATGTTTTAGCACGTAAACAATGAGGGGGGGGGGGGGGGGCGCTAGTTTCAGAAGTAAAATGGCTGCCAAAGTGTGGGGGGTTCCATAGCTTGAGAGTTCTTGGAAACTGAACATTTACGGGGATTTGTGCCTTTAGTTAACGGGCTTTATTTTTGTTCAGTAAAATCTCCACAGAAATGTGTCTTTAAATGGACGTAAACGTTGGAACTTTAAAACAAAATTTCATTTATTGTTTTGACAAGCGCCGCCTCACAAATAGAGGTCATCATAGTATCGTAGTTTCAAAATCTCAACGTCCAGCTCATAGGGAACCAAAACATATTTTTGAAAAGCCGTTCCATGTATTAATTGGAAGGCCATTATAGTGCGGTGAAAAATTCATGGTGCAACTTATTGTCAAGTATTCCATAAACTGTCGAAATAGATTCTCCAGCTTTTGCACAATGACTTGTATCAATTTGTCTGAACAAATTAATATTTGTTAACGCCTGTCAGCTGTATTCTAGAAACTTCCTTAATAAATACTTATTTTAAAAATCCATATTGGTGGTTTTTCTAAAGATTTTTAAAAGGTTTACATTTGGGTCAATGTTGCTTATAAAAGAAAGTATGTTATGCTTTTCTAATCGTGACACTAACTTTGTTGAAAAAATGTTTTGAGAACCTTCAGGGCAAAAAAATATATATATTAAGTATAAAATCAATTTCTTGTAACAAGTTTGCCACTAAAAAGTGTCATTGATGAGCTGGGACGTAGGCCAAATGCGTATACAAAATGTGCGTGAGCAGCGGGAAGTGCAGTGAACAATCTAATTTTCCGCCTGAAGGAGATTTATAGTATGGTATTTTATCAAAAATTTGTGAAGAAAAATGTTTTAATCTAGTCTCAATTGTTCTGGGGGAAAATGATCAATTTAAGACAAATTGGTACAAAATGTTGTGCTTATGGATGACATCCATTGATTCACATGTTAAAGAGATATTTGATTCTTAAGTTGCGCCACGAATTTTTGACCGGACTATAGTATTATTATTTTGGTTTCCAGTAAATTATAATTGCTGGTTCAGCTGTTTCTGTAGTTGATGGAGAGGGAGGAAGATAATGTTACTTTTGGATCGTTAACGTTTCAGTCATCTGACTGAGTAAACATATGTACCTGTACTTAGACTACGATAACAATTAGAAAGACACAACTCACACAGAAATAAAGACGTCACTTGTGTTTATCAGCCCCTGCTTGTCTTTAATCCCATTTAAATCTTTGCTTCTGCTGTTGCCCCCCCCCCTTTTCTGCATGAGTCTTTCTTTCCCCCCTTCAATTCATTTTTTTGGGGGGACTAGGATGGCTTTAAACTCCTTTTCTTTCTTTTTGTCTTTCCTTTTGTTCTTTCTGCTTGTTTTGGTTTTATTACTTTTTTCACTTCTTCTTTTTTCTTGTTCTGCTTCATGGAACCAACAGCCAGACAGAGTACCGTCCGAAAAGTACGACCACGTCAATCAATCAGACATGGTGACCACTGACCAGTGTCCAGGGTCATGTCTGTGTCATATCATTATCCCAGGCTCCTGTTGTACGTTTTTAGACTCATTCTAATGTCACCAGTTTTGTGCAGGCCTGTGTAGCCCGGTTTTTGGGGGGGACTTTGGCATCTTTCAGTTAGGTCAAAGAGATTCTTCTTCTTCTTCTTCTTCTTCTTCTTCTTCTTCTTCTTCTTCTTCTTCTTCTCCTTCTCCTTCTCCTTCTCCTTCTTCTTCTTCTTCTTCTTCTCCTTCTTCTTCTTCTTCTCCTCCTTCTTCTTCTTCTCCTTCTCCTCCTCCTCCACTCAGTACATTCAGGATCTTTAGTCCGCCCTGCCCATCCCACAGGACATTACACAAATTAATAATATGTTTCTGTCAGAATTTATGACGTAATAACTGGCGCCTATAGAGGAACCAGGAAAGTCCCCGGCGTGATACGTGGACCCGTCTCGCTCATCACGTCAGGACGGAGCAAATGCCAAGAGCTGTAAACTTTCCAACGGAGAGGGTAAAGGACTCATGAGGTCCCGCGCTGAAGTAACAGAGGTTACTGCGCTGTAGGTTTCATTTCTGCTTCTGCATACAGGAGATACACCAGTCATGGTTTGAGTTGGGCTCCAAGCATTATTGTGTTTACGTCAAAGTCCCAAGTGATTGGCTTCGAGTCTCTCTCTCTCTCTCTCTCTCTCTCTCTCTCTCTCTCTCTCTCTCTCTCTCTCTCTTTCTCTCATGCTCTCACCCATCACCCCTCTCTGTCTGTCTGTCTGTTCTCTCTGCTTTCTCTGGCTGTTTTCTTGTATATCCATCTGTCTGTTTGTCTACAATTATGTGTCTGTCTGCCTGTGTGTCTGTCTGTGTGTCTGTCTGCATTTCTGGCTGTCTCGCTGACATCTTAGATTTAATCTTTGTTTCCCATCTCTAGCTACATACGCCCTTTCCTAGATTATTGTCGTGAAAAAATGCTCGACATAAAAAGCTGATATTTTCCACAACTAATGTTCGGGTGTGTTGATAACAGAAGGCAATAAACCTGTCCCCTTGTAAGTGAACTTGTTTAACTCAGTGAGAACCCGCATTCTGATCATTCGGCATTTCTTTGGAAACTCGCTAATTTTGAGCATAACTTCGTTGTTTATACAATTTGTTTCCAATTCTGTTTTCTTGATATGAAACTTTAGAAAGCGTGCAACAAAATGCATTATTTTTAAAAATATGCAAATTGGTGTTTCTGGTCTGTACATGAGGATTCGAAATATTATGTACTAACGATGATTTTGGTCTGTTGCTAATCGGGCATTATCCGTGCTCGTTATGTCCTCAAAGAGTTCAGCGTTATCGAACGTGTATATTAAGGTCGATGTATTCTTTCAACATCTCACACGTATTCTCACGAAATTCAAAGAGCAAACCAGCTCAAGCAGTAGACGAAATTTATGTGTGAAACTTTCTATTGCGGGCCAATAACCAGGCTGCCATTTAATAAGTGAAATGACTTGAAGTCACCATGTTACCACATATTATGTCAGAGTGGTTAACCTTTCAGTTTATTACCACACATTTCAGAATGGTCAACCTTTCAGTTTATTACCACATGTTCTCCAGTGTGGTTAGACTGTCAGTTAATTACCGCACATTCGCTAGTACTTTTTCACTCTTTATTCGCAAGCGGCCAGGGAGTTAGTTTACTCCTCTTCTCCTTATTCGCAACTTACTTTCTACCCATTACGCTATCTGGCGTTTAGGGCAGCAACAAAGGATCTCCAGCTCCGTCTGTTTTCGGACATCTTGGTCAACGTCCCCCTCGAATGGTTCCAGGATTTCATTTCAGACTCTACTGTGCGTCTCCAGGTCACCTTGGGTCTGCCCCTCTTACGATGTCCTTCGGATGTCCAGTGGAGTGCAGTCTTTACTATAGAGTCTGGTTCTCTTCTCAGAACATGCCCAATCCATCTCCATCGTCTCCTTGTTATTACGGGGGTCATGTCTCCTCTTTCCTACTTTTCCGTAAAAGATCTGTGTTGGAAATCTTGTTGGGCCAAAAGATTCGGGGGATTTGGCGAAAGCTGGTTGTATGGAAAGAGTATGGCTTGGCACGGTCATGATCAGTCATTCTCCAGCATTCAGATCCATATAGGAGGGTGGATAGTACACTGCTGTTATACAGCAAGTGGTCAGTTCATTCCTCCACATATCCCAGTGGTCATTTTGATTCTCCGCATCGCCCAGTGTGGTCAGTCAGAGAGTTTATATCCCCATATCCATCTCCCAGCGGCCAGTATGTTCCTCTACATCTCCCAGTGGTCAATTTATTTTTCCTCGTGACCCAGAGTATGGTCAGTTTAATCTTCCACATCTCACAGCGATCAGTTTTTTCTCCCACATCTGCCAGTGGTCAGTTTAGAGAGAAGGGAAAAGAAAAGGGTACAGAGGAGAGTCTGGAGATCAGAGAAGCGGACAGAAAGAAGTGAAGAGAGAGAGAGGGGGGGCGGAGAGAATGACGGAGAGAGATGGAATAAGAGAGAAAGGGACGGACAGAAAGACAGACAGACAGACAGACAGACAGACAGACAGACAGACAGACAGACAGACAGACAGACCGATAGACAGATAGACAGACAGGCAGGCAGGCAGGCAGACAGGCAGACAGACAGACAGACAGACAGACAGACAGGAAAGTGGTTGACAGGAGAGCCTGGAGATCAGAGGAGAGAGAGGGAGGGACAGAGAGAGCGAGAGACAAGAGCAGGGGAGGGGATGGAGATTAAGAGGAGGATGTATGCAAAGGAGAACGGGAGTTATAGATAGATAGATAGATAGATAGATAGATAGATAGATAGATAGATAGATAGATAGAGGGAGGGAGAGACAGAAAGGGAAAGAGAGACCCGCCTGCTGTTTGAGAACAGGACGTTTTTACGTTGAGGTCAGTGACAGAGTCAAAGCTGGAATGTCAATGGTATATCAGAGAGTTAAGTGAACGCTCCATCCCAGTCCCAAGCCTACGGGAGGGCTTCCGCCTCGTATGGGATGCGGTATGCGAGAGTCATTACCTTCATCACCATCATCATCATTATCATCATTATCGTCCAATGTTTCCATGGTTATGTTGGCATTGACATACTTTTAAAACTTATCCGGCCCTCTTATCTTTCTCTCTCTCTCTCTCTCTCTCTCTCTCTCTCTCTCTCTCTCTCTCTCTCTCTCTCTCTCTCTCTCTCTCTCTCTCTCTCTCTGCCTCCCCCTCTCTCCGCCTCCCGCTCCCTCCAACCCCTCCCTACCCTCCCTACCCCTCTCTAACTCTCTCTCCCCGTCTCTCTCTCTCTCCGTCTCTCTCTCTCTCTCTCTCTCTCTCTCTCTCTCTCTCTCTCTCTCTCTCTTTCTCTCTCCCCGCCCTTTTTGGATCGGGTAAGTGTGACGGGAACAGTTTTAAAAGTTTAAAAACGTGCCAGTGCGTGCTGTAGATAGAGAAGGTTACTGTCTGAGCTAGCTATAAGACCATTTCTAGGAGTCGACAGAGAGAGGGACACTGTGGGGTGAGAGGATACAGCCCGAGAATGGCGCTCACCACTGTCGCCCTATGCCTGCTACTCTGTGCCAACGTGTACTGTAAGTCTTTCAATTATAGTGTGGTCAAATATTCGTGGCGCAAGCTATTGTCGAATATCTTCTCAACTATTGAACATAAGCTCTCCAGCTTTTGAGCAGTGACTTGTATCAAGTTTGTCTTAACAGATGAATATTTTTGTAAACACCTGTTAGCTTTAATCTAGAAAATTCCTTAGTAAATAATGATACAAAATCCCAGGGGGCGGTTTCTACAGATTTAAACAGGTTTAAGCTGGGACAATGTCGCTTTTAAAAGCAAGTCCGATATGTGTTTCTAATTGCGAGATTCTATTTACTGAACACATGTTTTGAGAACTGGTAGTGCAAAAAAGTGCTCACCATATAAGTAATATCTTGTAACTAGTTTTGCAACTAAAAGTGTCATTGGTGAGCTGTGACGTAGGTCATAATAATGTGTGTGAGAAGTGGGAAGCGCTGTAAACAAAATTCCTTTTTCCGCGTGAAGGGGATTTTTGGTATTTTATATAAATTCATTAAGAAAAGTTTTTTAAATCTAGCCTCAATTGTTGTGGGAAAATATGATTAAGTTAAGACAAATTGATACAAAATAGCTGTGCAAATTATGGGTGACATTTATTCACTCGTTAAAAAGATATTTGAAGATGTTGCGCTATGAATTTTTGACCGCACTATAATGTAATTGTCTTTTCACAAAACCGTAAAAACTAGATCTAGATCCTTTTTCGGAGGCATTGCACTTCGACCCTGTCTGTCATAGCCAACCATCCCGGGTAGAGTGGGGATACAGCATCCAAGAAGACAGACAAGGATGCTCGATCAAAGCATGTATCCACCCGGGATACGAACTCACGTTTGCTCCATGCATTGTCTAAGAGTCTAACCGTTACACCAGTGACACGACCCCCCCTACCCCATCCCCCCATCCCCACCCCCACCCTAACCAAGTGAGTCTGAGACAATGGGTTTGTTGGTTTGGTGGTATGATGGAAAAAAAATTTAAAAATTTAAATAATTTTTTTTTTTAAATTAAAAAAAAAAAAAATATATATATATATATATATATATATATATATATATATATATACGTGACTGGTTGCGAAAATGTACACTGTTGCTTCTAAGTGAGCAGATGAAGAAGACTATAATGTAGAATGTTGCTTCTAAACCAGATCAAAGAGAAAAAAATAGACAGTACTGCTTCTAAATCAGGTCACGAAGACAAAATGTAGACTACTGGTTCTCAGTCAGTCTATGATGGCCTTTTGCTTTGTGAGAATCGATGTTAAAGCAGTATACACGATACAGTTTTTCCTGGGAGGTAGACACAGAGGAAGCAGGTAGCTAAAATACTACTTCCCTCCCTTCAGAGCTTGACTTTCTTGATATACTTCAAAGGAGAGGAATGGTCAATACGTTTAGAATCACTGAAGGTATAAGAGTGTGCCTTACTATTTTTCATGTGTGGTAGGGACATTTTTTACAGTGAATTTTTAACATGTTTTAAATGTTTCTCCGTTGGCGAACTACTATTTCACGATTTTCAACCACCAATCTGTAACGTGCGCAACGTACACACGAGACCTTTGAGATATTTCGTACTTATCCGAGAAGACTGGGTGCTAGATCTTAGGCCTACATGGGGAGAAAGAAGAAACATGAATGAGGGAATGAGCAAGATAATTTTTTTCTTCGGTTTTGATAATGATGTAAACATTTTTTTCTTTCAGCGTGTCTGGATATTGGGGACACTGAGTTATCAGCAGTTTTCTATTTTATATGTAGAATCTAATGGAAACAAATAATTATTTTTTAAATCACTCAAGTATGTTCAAGACATGGCACTAGTTGTCGAACGGGGAGCAAGAAGAAGTATTTGAGGAACGTGACCTACAATTTCTACAATTTTGTTTTCAGTGATATCACCTTGTTGTCAGGAAAATTCGTTTTAAAATGAAAAGAAACCAAAACATTAATTGTAAATATTCTTTTGGATTCTGCTTTGATACTCTGTACTGTCAGTAGAAAAACCTGTCACTGATGGCCGTGTGTATTCACTGGGGGTCATTTGACTTTTAACACGTAGCATTTCTGCAACTCACATTTTTGTTCGGGGATGGGGTGTGGGATAAAGGGAGGGGTGATTAATTTTGCTGCTTTTTTGTGGTTTCGTCAATGTCTTTTATTCGTGATTCATCTTTCTGTCTTTAACCCTTTGAGACCGTGTTCCGAGTCCCGATTTGCACCATTTTGCGCTTGCTGCGACTTCGAATAAAGATTTTAATAACTGCACAAGGGTTTTCGCTGTACAGTACTATTGAAGGCCTCGAATAAGCATAGCTGGGTTTCTATAAGTACTCTAAGAGGCCTTCCAGAAAGATAATTGTGCTTTCTATATCGTACTATTGTAGGTCTTGCATAAAGACAGCTGGGTTTTCTAACCAAGTGTGTAAAAAAAAAGAGGCTCCACTTAAAGGACAATAACTCGGTCATCTTTAGGCCAATAACAATGAAACTTTAGAGAAATAAAATTAAACACGGGGGATATTACATTTGTAAATATTTTTAAAATTCAACCACCATTTTCGAAAAATATAAAGTTTTCAAACTTTTAACCAAAATTGCGTGAAACGCAAAACTTTGCAACTTCTTAAAGATCAACCATACTGTTGAATAACAAATTTATACAAAAATCATGTTGCCAAATAAACTCAGGGAGGTGCTGGCTATTTAAATATGCGGGTCTCGACCATTTCTCTCCATGCAAGCTCTAATAAGGCACTGGAAATTTTGAATAACCTAGCATGTTTTGGGGTCGATTCTATGGACGTCCAGTTGAATATTGAGTTAAGAGTTTCGACTGTTCGATAGTTTGTGGCTTGTTTTGGGAGAATCTGTCTGTCAAAAAATCCCCAAAAATAACTATTGAAAGGGCTCAAGTTTGGGGGAATTTGGTGATCATTCATTTGTAAACTTACGACTTATAAGGCGTTCACCAAACCTTTGTTGCATACAACCATACAAGACATTGGAGGGTGTGGTTCCATTCCACTAGAACTAAACCTCTAAAGCATAATGACTTCTCCAAAACTTTCTAACTACAGCGAGATATCCATTGGATGAGTCTGTCATGGTTTTACAATTCTTATCCTGAAACCAGAAAAGGTCAATCACGCCCCTTTAGCTTTTAATTAAAAATAATAATGGAATTCATTTATATAGCGCATATCCACTTGTGCAATGCTCTATGCGCTTAACATGATACATATTATGGATTTACAAATCAATTTTGAAGGCACATAGTGTTACAAACGCGTGCCCACACATACTCACGCACGCACGCACCACACATACATACACACATACATGCACACATATATACACACATACACATATACGTACATACGCACATATGCAAATACAAACTCACAACGATCTACAGCTTGGATGGATTCTGTCTAATTGAAATATGATTAAAATAAAAATGCTTTCAGTTTCTTCTTAAAAATTTCTAGATTTTCTGCTTCTCTGATAGTTTTTGGAAACCTATTCCAAACAAGTGGGGCAAAATATGAAAAAGAGCGTTGGCCATATGTTTTAATGGGTAATTAAGAAGTGATATTTTTCGTTTTGCCCAATTTTACTCGAAATCTTTAAAATTCGATATTTCTCGAAGCCGGTGATGAATTTTTTTCATATTAAGAAATGGATGTCCCCCCAGTTGAATTTAATTATTACGAAGTTTTGCTATAATAAGTTTAAGTGGTTCCTCTTTTTTATTTTTTTAGATGGATTGTATGAGGGGGCGTAGGTGGGTGTGTGTGACCGACAAATTGGAGCCACAGAGGGAGAGAAAAGAAGTAGCAAACAGATAACAAATCAGTAAATAGCATAATATAGCGTATATCCTCGCTCAACAGTAAGCTCTATGACTTTGCAATCTATATTTCTACCCCAGTAGGCCCTAGAACACTTAAATACATACTCAGCTTCCAGGGAAGAATAAAGTCCAAGTAACAATTAAACGCTTTAAATATCAACTAGGGGGCTCTCGCGGCCTAGAGGTTGGGGTGTTCGCCTCTCATTCAAAAGTCCAGGGTTCGAATCCAGGTAGCGACGAAAACATTTTCTTCTCTCAAATTGTCTCCTTTCACTTCCTTCCCTGTTTTCTAGCAATTTTCTGCCGACTGCTTTCATCTCCACTTTCGGCCCCCACACCCTCACCTCCTTTGCCCCCTCCTCCGGGCTCCTGACTCTTTCAGCAGCCTTGCTACTGCTACTCCTTGACCCCTTCTTACTGCTGTCTTTCAGCCACACCCCTGATCTTCGAGTAGGAAAGATCTGCACATAACCTTCCCGGGTAAGGGCAAAAAATCTCGGAGGTCCTGTGCGCAAGAGTAGGCTTCAGCCGCCAGAGGAGCAAAATTCGAAATTTCCTTCCAACTGAAAATGTTTGGTGTTTCCCGCACGCTCATACGACCTTACGCAGTTGCAAGCGCCGTAAAACACTTACCCGAAAGGGGAAAAACATCTACATACTGAGAAGATCTTTCGTAGTCTATAGCCGGGTGTCCATTTCAACCTGGGTGAAGTGATGAAAATTCTTGTAAAGTGCCTTTCCCGAAGACACAACGTCGGACCTCTTACGTGGTTGGAACCCACGTCCTTTCGGTTGCGAGCCCAACAGCTTAACCACTTGACCATTGACGCCACAAGTAAGACCTACCAGTGACACCCTCCAACCACCCATACGTAGAGTAATGGCTACACAGTTTGCCGTGCAAGTGAAAGACGTGAGTTCACTCCCTGATATTTCAACATGGTACCTTAATCGGGATTTATCTCACCTGACCTCGCTTGGTCGTGACTAATAGTCTGGAAGCCGCCCGCCTTCTAATAGTCTGGAAGCCACCTGCCTTCTAATAGTCTAAACTGTGTCGATGGGGACGTGAAACATCTACAAAAACTACGAAAGAAGCAGGCCACCACAAGTGCGACTGGTCATCTAGTTATCGCTACCCTAGAATTACAAAGCTATATCTACTCAGGATGTAGAAATATTTTTGAGTTTCACAACAAGTCAAGCTTTTTCAAATGCAATTCTTTAAATATCTTGATAACTTTACTTTTATCAAGATATCTAAAGAATTGCATTTGAATATCTTGATAACGACTTCGAATAATCTTACTATTTTGATAGAGCAGACAAAACATTGGTTTCTGACCTCGTGGTCTTAGTAACTAAAGACGGTCAAAATTGTCAAAGAGATTTGTAATTCGAGGTAGCGTTATGTCACCGATCCTCTGACAATCAGTAGGCCTACGAGCCATACAGTCAGAACTAGAGAGATTTTGTTTACATCGCGTTTTATAGTGCATGTATGGTAAAAAAAAAAGAACGATGTTCTTTTAAAAATACAATCGACCCAATCTTCTCAGTCGTTATTTAACAAAAGTTAAGAACATGAACGGTACTTCAGAATATATAATGAACGCCATTAAAAACGCAACACTTCGCTTAGTCTGAACACGTTTGAATCAAATTAATATAGATTAAAAGAAGTGTTTTTTAAAGTTTATTCCATTTTCAACAAATGAGAACCATTTTGATCACACATCGAAACTGATTTCGACACATTGCCCTTCTTTTCTCGGTGTACCCCCTCAAGACAAATTTGCAGATAAACACAAATCGAAGCTCTATAAAGATCTCTTACCCTTAGTAAATTGTATGGCCATCATTAACATTTAAATAGACCAAAACACTTATTCACATGGATTTTATAACATTTTCAATGTTTTGTTGAGAAATACAGTCCCACTTTAGCGCAGCGCGATCTTCCAATAGCTCCAGATTCGCAAGTCTGCACACACTTTGCAGTTAGGTTTTTCTCATACGTGCGCTCTCAGAGACATGTTGGGTACGTACACTGGCCAGTCCATGACATTCACGTTATGATATTCCAGAAACTGTTTTGTTTGCTAAAAGATGGGCTACATAAGGACAGGAGTGTCGTGTTGGATGACTGAAAGATTCTGATTTTGTTTGTGTGTGTGTGCTGTTTGTCACCGAGAAGACGGCGCTGTTGTTGCGGCTTCGTTAATTGCAGTCCTAAATAAAGTGTTCTTGGTCTAAGTCATGTACTTACTGCTCTGCACCTCACACTGATGAAAGAAACATTTCACGCACCCCATGCATGCTTTGAGCTGCTACTTTTGAGAAACGAAACGATTTTGCAGAAGGGACATCAAAATCTGCCTCTCTTGAACACCGTTGGTCACTTGAGACTGTCCTATTCTTTGCCCATCCCGGACATTTCAAGTGTGCAAAAATCTTTATATAAGTCGAGAGCAATACAAGTACAATACAAGCACTGCATTTTAGCCGTACTGCTGCTTCTCAGGCAGATTTCCCGCCATGAACAAGGCGGAAGCGAAAGTTGCGATCGGCTTCGGTAAGTTGAGGATTCGTGTATTGAAAGAATTTTTTTAAAGTGATTTTTTAAAAAGCTAGGACTTTTGTGTGGAATGAGCTACGAGTCATCTTTCAGGTAGATAATTTTGTAATCTTTTATTTTCATGATGTAGCAACTAATGAACTCATTTGACTAAAGCATAGTTTACTGTATTGTGATGAAAAGTATTCTTGGAAAAAACAAAAGGCGTGCATGGGTGTCTGGACTAGCAACTACTCATTTGTGTCTCCAAAAATCGTGACGATCAGAGCATATTTGGCATTTTAATAACTTTTTGAAAACGCTTCATTTTTAATGGCGTTCAGTATAGGTTTCTCTTACCTTTAGGAAAGTCGATGTAACATTAGTTTTATATAGACACAAAATACTTTTGCTCAAAATTTGGTCTTGCGGCCGTCAATTCGCCAGCGGGCCTCGAGTTTGACATCCCAGGTATATGTAATAAAAGTGTGTGAGTATTACAAGCTTTCCTCGTCTCTAATTTTGAGACATGTTTGTCTATTGCTTCTTCAGCGTTCCAGTTCACAGAGAGGACACTGTGTAGCTCAGAGCAGACGTCAGCCATGATGAATGAGTGTTTCCAATTGGTCAATAAAGTACAGGTCAATACGTACCAAGAACAGCTTTGTCGGTGAGTCACAAAAAACACACACACATACACACACACACGCACACACACACACACACACACACACACACACACACACACATACACACACACGCACACACGTACGCACGCACACATACACACACATACACACACGCATACAGACACGCACATACAGATACACATATACACCAGTACAGACACTCAATTCCCACACATG